GAAACCTCCCTGCAGTCGTCTGCTTGAAGCGGAAGCGTCTCCCAGGAACATTAAGAGGCCTTTCCTTGACTACGTCGACGACGTTGAGTAGTACACCCACCAGACTTCGGATGCAACAAACTTCAGACATTTGCTGACAGCCATTTACAGTGGAGCAATCAACATCTTCAACGACTCCCTCCCAATGAATGGTATACTTCGCTCTGGGTACTGCAGCCAGTTAAACTCCTCCTTAACCAGAATCGACCCCGAAATTACCAAATATATGTCCAGCATGCAACGAGTCTCCGCATGACACTTACCACATTTTTGCATGCCCAACGAACACCCTTCTCCCTTTAGTCCGACCTCGTCGAAACAGCAAGTTAGTCCTACCGTTAGTTGACTTCGAAGACAATCAACCTAACCGAAGTGTAATAAATAGTTTACCATATAGTTGGCAAAGTAGAGCCGTGAATTATACATATGAATCATTTGCTCAAATGCAACTAGAGAGAGCGAGTAAGATAATCACACCGAAGTGTAGTGAAAAAGGAGTTACTTTTTCCCAAGTATAGAACAAAAGTAACCTATCGGATAACTAATGCGTTAATTACTGATAACTTATCGGTAACCAGCTAGCTAACTTTTACCCGTCTTGTAGGAAAGTTTCCTCGAAAATCGTTCGTGTTCGTTTTTGCGAACACCAAAGCCAAATTCACTCCTTTTTGTATTCATTATAATATATACTTTCACTCGGATTCCAGAACCTGCCTGATTACTATAAAAAATCCATAATGTGTTTAAGAGCAACGATTTTTGTTTTAATAAAAACTAATTCTTGTTAGAAACTTTCGTAAATAAATAAAAATAAACTACTCATTTTTTTTTTTTAAATAGGGTGCGTTAGAGATGGCAATCACTACAGCAGTGTTGCAAATTTGTCAAAGTATCACGTTCTGCGTGAATTTTTGGCAACACTTGCAACAGAATCACTTTCTACTGTCACTTTTTGCACGCATCAGCAAATTTCGGCTGAAAATTAATGGGAAGATAGCTTAGAGTTGTCTATTTTAAATGTTGTTGTTGTTGTAACAGTTCCCTAGTCCCCGCTTGGGTGATAAGTTATAGTTTGGTTGTCGTCGAGGTCATCTAACGGGAGGCCCAGGAAACGAGCTGTTTCGACGGGGTCGGACCATAGGGAAATGGGTGTTAGATGAGTTGGGTTTGTTGGGCATGCAAAGAGTTCGTTATTGTCATGCGGAGACTCATTGCACGCAGGACATATTTGGAATCTCGAGGTCGATTCTGGATTAGTAGGAGTTTAACCTGCTACAATATCCAGAACAAAGTTGCGCGAGGGTCACTCTGGTTTCGCGAGGCAACTCGAGCTCTACTTCTGCTATGGGTGGTGGCTTGACTCCTAGTATGCCATTCACTGAGATCAAGAGGCACCCCGTGATAGTCCGGAGTGCAGTGTTTAGATAAGTCTGAAGCTTCTTCATCTGCGTTGCACTACATCCAGGCAAGCATATTGGAGAAGCATAGTTAAGGACCGGCCGGCCGATTGTCTTGTATGTTGCCAGCAATGTTTCTTTGTCTTTTCCCTAAGAGCGGCTCTGTACTTTGGCAGTTATCGCGGTCGAGTGAGGAGTGAAAGAGCACAGACTGTCTCACGTAACGCTTAAGATTTTAGGGTTTTTGACTGTCGGAATTTTTGTGCCATCGACTGAAATAATTAAATCCAGTCTGTACTCTTTCATCCAGTTTGTAAAAATGGTCGCTGTGGATGTAGTGGGGAGAGTGTCAGACTCCTTGCAGAGAAGAAGCGAGAAAGGTCGGAGAGATAGCCGTTTACTTTCGAGCATATGCCATCGATTTCATTGTCCGACGTCAATATCGTGCAGTCATCAGTGTACGAGGTCACGGAAATTCCCTCTGGTGGTTGGGGGAGTTGCGAGATGTAGAAACAGTAGTGTGAAGAGGACACCACCCAGCTAAGCCCCCTGTTTAATTCCGCTTAGTTAGGAGTTTTGACCTCGAAACAGTACGGTTGAATGTCGACCGTTCAGGTAGTTCATAGTAGTAGCGTTGACTGTGTCAAAAGCTTTTGATAAGTCCAACGCTACGAGTCCACCGCTTCACCCTGGAAGGGGGGGGAGCGTGGATTATTCTATGTCCTCAGGTAGCACTGTGTGTGGTTGACTGTGTCAAAAGCTTTTGACAAGTCCAGCGCTACGAGGAGCGTCCTTTCGCAGGGTGGCTTCTGGTTTAGGCCATGAACTATCTGGGCGTTTATGACGCTAAGTGCTGTGGTGGTGCTGTGCACTTTTCGGTGGTCTGCTGGGCTCAGGTGGTGAGTGAATGTCGAGAGTAGCAAGGCCTCAAATGTCTTCACTACTAGGCAAAAGAGCGTTATCGGACGATAAAACACCCTTTTGTTGATGGGTTTCCCAGGTTTTAGTAGTGGGACCACTCTTCCGACTTTCCACACATCGGGTATTTGAAGATTGTTCATTTACAAGTTGAGGTAGTGAGGTAGCTTACTCCCTTCGAGCCTAGATGTTTTGGCATCAGCATGCTTATTCCGTCAGGGCCCATAGATTTGGACGATACGGGCCTTTTTGATGTCACTCTGAGCCGTCGGATAACACATCGTTTTGCTTTGTCGGTCGAAGGGTGCAGTGTAAACTCCGAGGAGGCATGGCCATTGAATTGAATTTCAACTCGGTCGGCATGTTTCCTCGGATTAGACAAGACCTTGACAGTAGTCTAAAGCTTACTCACACCTTTGGAGATTGCAGGACTTCAGGTGCTTTATCCATTTTGTCTGCTTATGCTGATTTACCATTTGACGAATCTCCAAATTGAGATCCCTTATTCGAGGATCACAGGGATCGACATGGCGTAAGGTGTCACGCTCGTTTGCTAATACAGCTGCTTTGGCTGGGAAATTAGGGCGGATTTCCGCGATTCTTCCAGCCGATATGAACCGAGCGATGACATCCGTAGGAATGGGTAGTGCGTTGAAGGTGCTCTCGGTAAATTCTATGAAGCCGACCCAGTTAGCTTTTTTAAAGTTAACAAAGGTGCGGTTGTCCACAGAAATAAAGTCGGGTGGTTTCTCAATCGAGATAATTATGGGCAGATGGTGTAATGCAAGAGTTAGCATAGGTCGCCAGATTGTTTATCAGACCACCGCTAACGATGGTAATATGTGACGAGCTATTACAGGTGCCCATAATTCTGGTGGGGGCTTCGACATTCATTGTGCAGAATGTCGAATCGTCAATCTGTCCCGCCAGCTCCATCCCCCTACGATCGTTTGAGAGGCAGGAGTGCCAAACATCGTGGTGCTCGTTAAAGTCACCTAGCACCAAACGGGTTTCACCACGAAGTAGTGCACCTATATTCGGACGATATCCTGTTGGGCAACATGTAATTGGGGAGATGTATACATTAAATATCTCGAGCTCGACATCGCCTGACCGTACAGCTAGACCCTGACATTAAACGGTAGTGTCTGCGGTCGATTCCACCATCGATTAGATTAGACGATATTGCACGGTGATGTGCAGTATGAAGGCTAGGCCTCCACCATTATCTCGGTCGCGATCCTTATGTAATACGTTGAAACCTGCGAACTCAGAAGATCGGAGCGGCTGTTTAACTTTGTTTCTTAGACTGCAGCTATCGATACGTGTTCCCGGATCATATATGCAACTATCTCCTCGGTCTTACTGTGGAGTCTCCAATGATATTGTCAGAATGTACGACGGAAATAGAGCTAAATTAAATTGAATTTTAAAATTTTTATAATTAAAATATATGTATTATTGTTAAAAATTTAAAATGTCTCAAATCTATCTCAAATGTTATCAACTAACAATTTTGAACAATTAAATAATGCAGACAACTGCTCAGCAGTTTCCTGATTTTAACACTTCTACTTACTATAGGGTTTTCCAATAAGAGATATCTTTTTTTTTTTGTTCTAAAAAGAAAAACACTAATTGTTAAGGAAATTCAAAATTTTTTTGTTTAATGTGAAGTACAATCGATACAATTAAGTTCTGAATATAACATCATTCAAATGGACTACACGACATCTTTTGCAGGAACGAATTCGATGAACCCAATTTTCGAGTACTTTTCCCAATAAATCAAGTCCAATCATATATCAATATAGACTTCTAAAGCTTGAAGAGTCTGGTTTACTGCTAAAGATCAATGATTTCAAATGACCCAAAAAGAAGTAGGGTGTAGTCGAGCTACGTAATAATTTTAGCAGTACAGCAACTGAGTTGCATATTTGCCGAGACTCTGCTGACGTGCAGACAAAAATTTAGTGTTGCCGATTATTTGCATAAATTGCAGGGTAAAAAGTGACAGTAGAAGTGTTGCCAGAAATTTACCCAGAACGTGATACTTTGACAAATTTTCAACACTGCTGTCGCGATTGCCATCTCATACACATTCGTAGTCTAATAGTGATAAATCTCAACTTCTTGGAGGTCATTCAATGACACAATTTCTTGATATTATAGATTCTCTAAACTTTTTTCGCAATCATTCGGTTGTTGTAGCCTATCATGTTGGAAACATATATTGTCAAGATCAACTTCTTTCAATTGCAGCCATAAAAAGTTGGTTATCATCGATCTATAACGCTCTCCACTGACAGTAACGGTGTCACCAGCTTCATTTCGGAAGGTCGATGATTTCACCAGACCAAAAACCACACCGGGCAAAACTTGTAATTTTTATTTTTTTGCTGCGGATATGTAAGAAATTTTTCGTCAAAAGTTTAAGCCCTTAAGTAATACTTCTTCTGTTAACAAGTATTCTCGGGGACCTCGACCTATATTTTTGATGATGTTAATTTTTTGAATTTGAATTTGTAAATATCTATTAAATCTTCGTTCATTAATTCATTCCAAATTTTCAATTACACAAAATGAGGATGAATGGCATACAATTTTATTTTAATGGTAATTATCTTCCTCAAATGAAAAAAATAATTTCAAATTTGCAGTGAGTAATGAGTTCATTTAGATACGCTACTCTGATATTTATTAAACTTTATTTCATAGTTTATAAATTTTTAAGCATAAACCTCGCGTTGTGCTTTCTCCCACGCTGCTATAGGGCCGTGCTCTGGCCGATATTTTACATTGCATCCATCTGGTTCCAAGCGATTTTCATCACGTAGTTGTTCATAGCGGTCACGGTCATACTTAGTGAAACCCCATCGTTTTGATACGTAAATCTAAAAAACATTTTATAAATATGTTTACAATGTTATATGATTTAATTGACAATCATAATATAAAGATTTAATATAGCTAATGGCACGCAGATGTCAAATCGGCAAAATTGGTTTAGACTTTCAATTATAATATTAAAAGCTCTAAATTGCAGATATATATATTCTTGATATGGATGATCTCCTCTATCCGCCCATACCCATTTTATCCCCGAAAGCCTAGAACGGTATACTAAAGATTTCCCAAATTATTTTATATTATATATATAAGTATATAATTTTATTTTTGGTAAATGTATAGTTTTGGTCCCCCAACTAAGGAGGCGGTAAAAATGATTTTTTTTTAAATCGTCTTATTTTGACGCGAATATTACAAATCCGTGAGCGGAAAGTGAATTTTTTCAATAATATATGTATATATTTAAAATATATTTAAAGCATTTTGCACATATTTTTCAAGTCACTTAGCTGTTCTTCTAGCGGCGAAATTCTTCATAATTCAGATCAATTAGCTGTAATCACCAGTTCAGCGAGTTAAACATTTTCTTGTGAAAAAAATACTGAAGAAATGAAACAGTCACAATTTCTTTTGCGCTGCACTGGCGGCCTTCGGCCGCGCTTCAAAAAAATTACCCTGGTCGGTCCAACACCGAGGTGTCCATAGTTCTTTTGCACCAAACTCCTTTCAGCAGCGGAAAAAATAAAATAATTAATTTTAATGTATCACAATTTTTTATTTTTAATGCATATGTATTAAAAAAATTCAAAAAAATTTTTTTTTTTGGTTTTTACAAAAAAAAAAGAAAAAAAATTATTGAAAAAATTCACTTTCCGCTCACGGATTTGTAATATTCGCGTCAAAATAAGACGATTTAAAAAAAAATTTATTTTTGAGGCCTCCTTAGTTGGGGGACCTAACCTATACATTTACCTTATTTTTTATGTTTTGGATACCTGTATTTGATGCATAATCTGTTTTCTTTACTTCGATCAGTTCATTTACAAAAGATGTTGATAAGGTAACGCTGGTTACCATTTTACAAGCCTTTTGATAATGTGTGAACTAATAATACTGAACAATAAAATAAATAATAAAACTGAACAGTAAGTTAAATATTGAAAGCTATTTTTACACTATATTGTATACTGTTCAATGAATACAAGGTGCGTTCCAAAATAAACAGTACAATAGTAACAAAGTAAACTCTAGTGGCGCCATCTAGATGTCGACTAGTGCGTTAGAATCTGCTATCCTTTATCGACTTCCAGTAAAAAATTTCATGACATTTCATCTGTTGGAAGTGAAGTTATTACGTTTTAAGTGTGAGAAATTGCGAAAATGAGCTTCGAACAAAGAGCCAACATTAAGTTTTGTTTTAAAAGTGGTAAAACATTTACCGAAACGTTTCAATTGATGAAAAAAGTTTATGGCGATGATTGCCTATCCCGTAGCAGAGTGCACGAGTGGTTTCAACGTTTTCAAAGTGGTCGTAAATGGAAGGCGCCGCACAAGCCGAAACCCAAAAAATCGCGCCTGGTGAAGACAATGCTGATTTGTTTTTATGATTCCAAGGGTATTGTCCACAAAGAATTTGTTTCACCCGGCCAAAACGTTAATGCGGTATTCTACCTTGGAGTTTTGAAGCGTTTGGTGTGCAGTATTTGACGTTTTCGGCCCGAATATCGCGAAGATGGAAGTTGGCGTTTGTTGCACGATAATGCGCCGTCTCATCGATCGACTCTTGTGGCTGATTATTTGACCAAAAGTCACACTTTAACAATCAACCACTCCCCGTATTCACCTGATATGGCACCGTGCGATTTCTACCTTTTCGGAGGCTATTTTAAAGGTTGCACTCGTTCGACATGTTTTTGGACCGAGCAAAAGCTGTATTAAAGCAGGAGACTATATTGAATAAAATTAATTGATTTTGCCGATAAAACCATTTTTTTTTTTTTTAAAGTCCTGTTTACTTTGGAAGGCACCTTGTATATACAAACAAATTCATGAAGTGTAAGTGACTATAAAATAATCAAGAAAATTCGCTATTTTGTATCACCCAATAAAGGATGTTAAAAACCCTCACAATAATTTAAATACAAACCTTTTGCCGTCCTGGAAACTTAAACTTGGCACGACGAAGAGCCTCAACCACTTGAGCCTTATAACGATCACTCGAACGAACTGACATTATTGGCTGGCCGATATGAACACGAGCGACTGTTCCCTGTGGTTTTCCAAAAGCTCCTCGCATTCCAGTTTGTAGCCTGAAATATTTAATTTTATTAGAAAATTGTTTCCTCTTGGAGTTTTATTTGTTCAAAGGAACATGTTCAGATGTCGTCAATAATCATTTGACTCATACCCCAGTGCTCGATATTTTCATCACTTAAAATTGTGGCGTAAATAAAAATATTTTAAAATAAATAACTAACGAAAAATACTAACAAGTCGTAAATATTGCATTTTTCTTACCTATCCGCTCCAGCACATGACAACATTTTATTAATTCGAATCACGTGGAACGGATGTAACCGCATACGTATATGAAACTGATCTTTACCGCAGTATTTTACCAAATATTTGTTGCAACAAATTCGACCAGCCTCCAACGCCTCACTACTAAGTTGTTCATATTCATCAGATACTAAGTGAACGCACAATGGGAAATCTTCAACCGATGCTTTTTTCCTGCCCAAATCGAATATACGAATTTTGGGGTCTGGAACACCTCGACAAAACCTGGACTTTGGATAGGGTTTATTTTTGCAGTAGCGATAACTGTTGAAAAACCACAATTAACATGAATAATATACCAATAAATCCATCATACCATCTTGCTGGTCGCCGACCCATTTTAAGATTTTAGACACGTCCACTTCAACTAAAAGAATCCAACGGAAAAGGAAATCAAGTATATCCAAACTGACAGAGTTTCATTAATTCGTAATAGACATGCGTTTATAATAATAGGCAATATTAGAATAATACTTACATATCGCTCACACGTTGAGTAAGTAAATAAATTACCTCAAGTTGATTTACAACACAGAGAATGGCATACCTATATATATGTATCAGAGTATTCAGTAAACCAACTAAAACAAGTAATAAATGTACATATGCTTATGTGACGAATTATTTCTTTGTATTGGTTTATATTTCCTTCATAGTTGTCATTTGTGTTAACCCATTGAAATTTTTTTTATCTTTTTACTGTGAAATTAATTTTCAAATATTTAATGAAAAAGAAAAAATTCCAAATAATTCTTGTTATTTAAATTGGGGAGCTTTAAACCTTCTAATAATTTTATGACTCAAATTTACACTATAAGCTCTTAACAAAAATTTTTAAAAGAGGTGAGGACAAAACTACTTATACATATAAACTCGTTTATTTATACGTTGTCAAATAAGCTTACTGCCAACGGCTAATTTATAATGCTGCAGAAGGAACGCTTCGTCTTTTAGTTTTTTCTCTGATATATAATATACACGTTGTTTCAAACCTGACAGATTTTTGAAACATAACTCAAATAAATATTTCAAACATGTATTGCGGTCCAATTCAAAAATACACAGCGAATATCAAGTACTGTTTCTGCCGCTACAACAACAACAATATGATTTTGCTTCATCTCGTAAGGTTTTATGTAAACGTAATCATATAAAATTGTACATTGCAGTTATCTGTCTAAGCGGTTTAAATGCTACTGTCTATTATTTCAGTTTGGCGACACATTTAATATGAAGGTCATGAGGTGAACTGTAAACTCAAGAAAGTTCCATTTTTACCCAGCGCCCTTGGCAACTTATGATAAGTTTAGATATTAAGACAGAAAGAGGAAAATCTATATACCTGCTCTACATATGTGTATACCATACTTAATTAGATGTAAGTTATTAGTTAATTTAGTTATTGTTTAAAACAGGTACCATAGATCCCTGTTTTAAATTATTAAAATTTAAAAAATTATTAAATTTAATATTAAATATTATGTATTATTATGTTAGTGAATATCTAAGTAATATATAGGTATACAAAAGCACGTAAGCTGTGTGTACAAAAATAAAATAAAATAATATATTGTGGCGAACACGAATACCAGAACAAATCATTCCTGGGCCTCCCGTTAGATGACCTCGACGACAATGAATCTGGAATTTATCACCCAAACGGGGACTAGGTAACCGTTACAACAACAACAACAACCAGAACAAATCAGAATCGACGATAAACTACCAGAAGTAACTCGACAGCGAATTCGTAGTTGCCAGAATGTTCTAGTAGCGAACTTTTGTTAATAATTTACTATGTAAGGGCTGCCGGATTGTGCAGCAGACAGAGTTCTAATTAGAGTGTTGCCGTGTAAAAAGCAATTAATTTATAAGCAATAAGTTGTAAGTTCGAATATCGAGCAATAAGTGTTAAGTTGTTGGAAATAAAAGTAAAGATAAGTGTATAGCCCTTAAATTGGGGCTGTAATTTAACAATCCAGTGATCGAACTCAAGAGGTAGTTACAGGTAGTTGATTTATCGAGAAATCCGTTACAATTGGTGTCAGAAGTGGGATTATCACATAAATTCCCAAGGAGATAATTATTTGAAAATGGCCAAGTTTAACGATCTGAAGATTCCACAACTGAAAAAAGAGCTGGAGCAACGTGGTTTGGCGACAAATAGATTAAAAACTGAATTACAATCACGGTTGAGAGAAGCCATGGAGGCGGAAAACATTATTGTTGAGGAATACGTCTTTAATATGGAATTAGAGGAAGAGACAACAAAGATAGAAGAAAAGGAACAGGCTCAATGCTCGTCAAAGATAGTGGACATTGGGGTTGCAAGTTGAAAGAACATGATTTTTGCAGCAATATCGCAGACGGGGAAAGGGCAGAATGCACTTATGTCTCAGATGTCAACGCAAATATCGACACATATATCGCAGTTAGAATCGCGGTTGTCAACGCAGTTCGCAACGCAAGATGCACGTACACAGTTGAAAGAGCAGGATACACGGATATCGCAGGTGACCTCACAAATAGTAGAAGTGTCGTCACAGATTTCGGAAGAGCGGGATAGAATTAAAACTGAAGTGGATGAATTGAAAGATCGTCTCTGCGAGCTACAATTAAATCGGCCAATTATGCTCCCAGATTTTGCCAAGGAAAAACCTCCATCCTTTGATGTCACTATTCCGTTCCATATTTTTAAGCTTCAATTCGAAAAGACGGCATCTTCAAATAATTGGAACGCTGAAGATAAAGTTACTACATTGTTCGTTGCATTAAAAGGATCAGCTGCGGAGATATTACAGACCACTCCTAACTGCGAGGCAAGTAGTTATGAAACGTTGATGAATACATCTGCTACTGTTCCTGCCTCATGGTTAGGAATTGCGTATACCTCTGGCCATTTGTCAAACATATCTGTTTTCTAATTTACTGATAGGAAATGGACCAGCTACATCCATGGCTACTCGCTCAAACGGCGCACCTGAATTGTACTGCTTCATCTGGCCATGACTCCTGGACCGCGGCCCTTTAGCAGCAATGCACTCGACACAATTGGCGATCCACTCCGTAACTGACTGACGACAACCAACCCAATAAAATCTTTGTTTTAATTTCTCCAAGCAGCCAGACACTAACTTCAAACTATTCCATTGTGCCCAATAAGCCTCGTTGGACGTTTATTCATCTCCAATCCGTGTATTACATATTTCAAATCTGGATTCTCTTGCTGACATTTCCGTAGTTTCTCCGGATCCCAGTTCTGACACTAATTGTAAAGGATTTCTCGATAAATCGGCTACCTGTAACTCACTCTTGAGTTCGATCACTGGACAGTTCTAATTAGAGTGTTGCCGTGTTAAAAGCAATTAAGCTATAAGCAATATGTTGTAATAAGTGTTAAGTTGTTGGCATTAGAAATAAAGATAAGTGTATAGCCATTAAATTGGGACCTTAATTTAACAATCTAGTGATCGAACTCAAAAGTGAGTTACAGGTAGACGATTTATCGAGAAATCCGTTACAATATAAAGAGTATATAAGATAAGATAATAAATAAGGAGTATAATAAATATCAGTACAGTGTGTTTGTAGTTTCAGTTACACAAACCACTTTGTTTCTTTAAACTAATTTCACTGTATTAGTTATATAGTGTTTTAACTATGATTATATACAGTGGCGAGCAAACAAATATACATATGTGCACCAGTATACCATAGTACCTATACACCGAACAGGAAAGGAGTCATAGCAAGGACTCAATTACAGTGAAAGAGAACAGTAGGATCCAACTTTTCACACCCGGACGGACAGAATTGTACAAGTATTATATATAAGTATTTTATTTATTAAGCTATTTATTAATTATGCCTAGATTAAGTAGAAAATCCATATTACTAAGTCGTCTTCAGAATAGAAGACTTATGAGAGTTCTTCGTGCAAACTCTTTATATAGAGATAGTGAGCAGTCACAAGATACTGTAAGTCACGCTAATCGTAGATTAGATTCCGATATCTTCAGTTATTTTATGTTTTGTAGAAACTTGGAGTTATCCTGGCGAAAGTTTTGATATACCAGGATTTACTCCAATTAACGAGTTGAGGATAGAGAGCATGGAAACAAGCAACAGAAATAAACGGGGTATTATATAATAATATGTATATGCAAAGCATAGTATTGCTAGGTTTATAGAACCAAAGGCTGTAAAGAAAATTTATTCAGACCGCGAAGTTTTAGAAGCGGTTTTCTTTAAATGTTTCAATATTAATATTCTGTTTCTATATAGAAATTCAGCTTTCTCTATCAGACATTTAATTAGAGAACTTCAGAGAGTCTCTACTTCTGAGTTATGCAATCAAAATGTGCTAATTGTTGGAGATTTTAACATTTGTTTAATGTCTACAGGTACTACAAAAAGAAATCTGCTCTAAGAAAAAAACTTTAGTTTCCTGCTTGGTGTAGAATATTCAACTGCCGGTACCTGCCGGTACATAAATTGATTGGGCATTTTCAAACATGGCTATCATGGCAGTATTTGTGTCTCTATTTCGAATTAAATTTTTCAGACTTAGTGCAATAGTTCTTACTTTTTTCTTCAAATATAATCAAAATGGAATGGTATTGACAGTAGTTTTTAATACAATTTTAAGAAAAATATGTAAATAACTAATTAAGAAAATTTAAATTATATGTATAATTTGTTATTATATAAGGCATTATTGTATAAATATATGATAGAAATTAATAATTTATTAAATATATATATAAAAATAGGAAAGATATATAATTTGGATATATGTATAAGAATTTCTATAAAAATTTATGTTTAATATTGTAAATATTATATACAAATTGATATAATAATATCGATATAATAAATAAAAAATTTTATTCATTGTCCAAAAACGATTTCATTTCATACTCCTCAATGCAGTTGTAATGCATTCTATATAAAGTCATTTATAAGCGTGTACAAAAAACACAAGAACGATTTCGCATAATTTAATAAATTTAGTTTACAAATTGCCCTAATTAATTTCACTGTGAATGTAAATAACTGAGGCAACAGTTCCCAGTTCTAATTATTAAAATATATAAAGAAATCTGAGACGAGTATGCCATTTAACTTTGCGTGAGTATAAAATATTCGGTTACATCCAAACTTATCCCTTCCTTACTTGTTTTAATTTGTTTTGATTATATGTTTGTCAAACGTCAACTACAAGTACAAACTGTATTAATCTATATTATTTTAGTTGTGTGAAACGTCGAATAGAAGCCAGTGTTGCCATACTATTCTAAATTTTATAATCTTTTAGTGATTGATTTTGCTTTTAATTTTAAATGTTACTTCAATACCTATTTTGGTCAAACGTAGGGAACTCATGGAAATATTATTTTCTTGTAAAAAAATCTCTATTGATGATAAATTAATTTTTTTTTAAAACGAATTGGAAAGACGAAAAAATGTTCAGGAAGTGCTGAAGAAGAAGAAAAAATTGAACAGCCTGAAATCTGAATTTAAACTTCGTTGGAACATATCACACCGAAAAAAAGATGTTTTTAATTAAATAAGTAAAACGTGGTTGGATTGCTCAATTTTTTTTATAAAAAATTCAAGCCGAAAAGGTGGTCGGCCTGAGAGATCTTTTGCAGAAAACTCACAGCGAACTAAATGAAATGCTACTTAAATGAAATTAAGGAAATCGGGTAAAGTGAAGGCATCAAAACTTTTGATGGAAGCCTCATCTCAGGATTATGTGCTCAAAAATTTCATCAGGTCATTATGATAGTGGTAGATGTCAAGTTGACAAGGAATCAGTACAACATAATAAGATTGGCGGCTCGGGACAAAATTTCTTCCTATAAAGTAATACAGGAAGAAGAAAAGAAAATGTTATCCTTTGAAAGAACACATTAAGGCAACTAATACGGTTGTCTGTACAACTCTATAATCCTTACTGGACCACACAATATGTCGTCTGATTATTGATGAGAGGACTGTGATAGATTCTTTTTATAGTTTAACTTTTATGATTGTATTAAAAGAAACGAAAAATTAAAAA